GAGATCGTCGAACAACCTGAAAATCTAATCGGACCGAGTTTGCCTGATCCTCGCACTGATTTTCGCACTTGCGTTGATAATGAGCGCGCCGTTTTGGCCGCTTCATGCATTAATTCATCATTTTAGTACAGATGATCGACGTTTCGAGTAGAAAGTCATCGGGCACATTGAATTTTCGACGCGTTTTCACGGAAAACTGCGTTTGAATCGGCCGATACACCTCGTGCTCGTAAACGGCACGGTCGAATGGTTCGCGGGAATCGGCCCTTGCCCCTCTGCTACGCGAGAGGGGGAGGGGGAGGGTCAACTCTTCATATTGCGAAACGAAGTGTCACTCGGGCGACATCAAAGCGATTGCCGGCGAAAAATTTATGAGGTCGGTACGTTGATATTATTTGGTATTGATTAACTTCGTCGAATATCCAGTTTGACGCTCGTCGCTACGCGCACTGAAATGGCACGCGTATCTACGCGTGCATCGCTTCACGCGTGTTATTAGCGCGAGCACCCGTTGCGAACCGGCTGGAAAAACACATGCCAATCAAACGTCCTTTATTAACGCACCTCTCATTATGTATCACCTTTCTGTGAAAACACAATTAACGTGTTTGAGTCGTAACGTAGAAGAATTGATATGAGAAATGTTCGAGGCAATCGAACATGCGAACGATCTTTGATTGTTGTTCCAAATTTTCCAGACAGACTGCAAAAATCGTCCGTGACACTCGCCGAGATTTCAAGTAGAGATCGATGTAAACTTTATTTCAGCATTTCGCGAAAAGCACCTTTGTCACGTTTGCAACAAAAGTTCCTTGTTCTTTTCGTATCTTCTTTCGAAATTCTACAAAAAAAAAAAAAAAAAAAAAAAAAAAAAAAGAAAAAAAAGAAACGTGGCAGACTTGACACAGGCAAAATGGATGATAGAAACGTGGCAGACTGACGAAATGCTGAAAATAATCTACACACCGTTGGAGAGGATCGAATATTCAGAGCGTTGACTCTTACTACTGGCCGACTATAAGCGGCGCGTTACTACTTAACGTGGAGCTGTTTACCGTAACGCAGTAAAATCCCCCCTCTCCCCGTTGTTATAAACTACATGAAATATGGATCGTATCGCGGCGATTGCATCAGCGTGTATGGCAAGAAAGGAGCTAACCCCATTCCTGGAATAGCTACGGCCCGAAGAGGATAGACGAAGATCCTCCGGCGATACGTATTTCGTACACATCATGTCGTTAAACTTAAACGAATTCCGGCGAAACATGGCAGTCTACTCTAGTTATCCTTTGAACGACTTTCTCGCGACTGCAAAGAGAATGTCGAGCGGGTGGGCACATTTTGAGCCTACTTGAACACTATCGAGACGCCACGGCAAGAGCGAGAGAAAATATGTAAATCTTCCTCTTGTTTCGACAAATAAACGCAATATACGCTTTATTTTGGATATCTCTCGCGAATTAGATGTCTGCATCATTACAAGTAACATTTGAAATAACCTTTATGATATAACTTATTTCAATATAATTAATTTTTCGAGATTCATATTTTAATACAATTAATGTTGAAAGTGATCGTAGTGTTGTAATTATATTGTAATAGGTAAATTTTTGCAATTTGATTCTAATTGATCCAATCTAACTTGATTTTATAATAAATCGGGATACGAAGTTATTTCATCGTGGACGCTAATGATGCAATGGTACGACTCAACGTAGACGATTCACTGGAGACGTAGAATCAATCCGATTCGAATCGCGCACGCTCTGGCGAATTCTTTTAACGACGAAACTAACGAAAGTGAAACACGTTAATTACAACCAGGTTTCCGGCGTTAGTTGAAAAAAAAAAAACCAGCGTAACTTCGTTACACCGACCATTTGAATCGAGAATGGAGACTACGAGCCAACCAATCAATCACACGTTCTGCCCATTCCGTACGAATACATAAACACTTTTCCTTGGAAATTCTCCAAAATTCCAGCATTTCGTTCATGGAAAATTCGAAAAGTAGGTCGCTAGGAAAGTCTCTCCGCTGGAAAAACATTTTCAATGCGCGGTTCGTTTGATCTGGCCGGCTCGAGGATCCGGTTTTCACAATTCCGTAGTTTTCGTTGCTCGAACGTCGACGCATCAGAGGAATCTGCGTCAGAGGTGGAGAGAAATAGGGAATCGCGTCGAAATGTAACAACTTTGGACGACGTTTTGTGCGCCTGGAGGGGGTTGGTTGTTCAGCCGCTCGAGAGGATCAGACATCCGCCGTCGATTCGCGTATCTTCGGTTGAAAAGTAAAAGGAGTCGTCGTAAAATGGTAAAAAACGGCCCTTTATCAAGCTGCTCGATTCGAGTTCGCGCGACATGGGACGTCATCCATCTCGACCACACCCTTCGGATTGAGAATCCGACCGGTTGGAAAGTCCACGGGGGATAAGGAGAAAGCCGCTCGTCGTGGAGAGGCGGAACGATTGACCCGAGTGGTTAGCGGAGTCTGGCGATTTTTTCATGGAGGATCAACTTGTCCGCCATATTAATGACCGCGGTGCTCGGATTATTCGTCGAGGTTAGCCAGCGGTCTTCCTTCGGGCTGAAGCCAACTTTCTCGGAAAATTGATTGCGCCTCTTGGAGAATCTCTCTTCTCTACGTCCCCCTCTTTCTCTACTCTCTTTTCCATTCAGAGGAAAACAGACGTAGCTAGAGAAAGAAAGCAAAAAGGGGAAAAGAATAGCCGAGAGAGAGAGAGAGAGAGTTGCTAAGGGAGAAGAGTTGACGTAGTCATCGTCGAACGAGAGAATTTTCTTTCTTTCGACACGATCGTGGCTAATTATCCTCCGCCGAGCGATTCCCCTTTAATTGGTGTTTTCTCATCGACTGTTCTCTCTCCCGGCGGCGGACAAAGTGTCTTCAAAACACGAATTTCCGCCGCAGTAATTCAGTTTCGCGAGTTCTTTTTACCTTGAATTCTCTCCCCTTCGATTTAAAGCGAAGCTTTGTTGCGAGTAATGTCTCCTTGTTTTTCCGCCTGCGAAACGTTCCCGCGGATCTCGTTAAAGGGGATCGTTTCCGAGATAGAAGTCTCCGCGTTCCCTCCAGATGGTCTGGATATTCGGTTAGTCGCTTCGTACCGGGTATGTCAAGGGGTGGAAAAAATTGTGCAGCCATTTTGTCAGCAGAAATGCGGAACGATTACGTGGAAAGCTGCTTACGCTTGAAGCGCAAACGCTGAATGACGGATCGCAGAGGATGAGTCTCCTATTGGCAAGATTTCGGTGTTGGGTTCTTGCCGGTCGAATTAATGCTTGGCCAAACTCGTCTCGTCGCGAATCGGCTTTACATTGAGTCGAATCCCTTTTCCGCCCTCTCCCCCGCCCTTTCCCTCCGAGGAAATGGAAACAAAGGGATGGCAATCGAGCTTGTTTGCTGCAACGTTTGTTTTCTTAGTCCGATATTAAACGTAACATCTCGGAGAGCGAAAACGTTCACGGCCGGAAGAGTCGCGGATTTAATCATTCAAGAGAGTTTTCGAAAACGTATTGTTAAATTAAGAACGTTGAATTATAAACAGATCCAAGTTCAAATGATGCAGTAACCATTACATTTCATAATACTTTGATTAATTAAGTTTAATTGTGTCTAACGTTAAAAAAAGGCCCAACACTGGTTTATAAGAATAACAGTATGATTTGCGCCAGTCGATCGTCGTGACTATGATTCTATGCTTTCCCGTTTGGATCTTCTCATTCTTCCAAGAAACCGATCATAGCTGACATAATGTTTATTCGTAATTTCCTCTGCGATATTAACGACTGTCCAGATATTTTGTTTAGTTAAGTTTAATCATTCACGTTCCATGTAGAATCTCTTGATACAATTGTTCTTCACATTCAACAACAGTAGAAATTATTATTATTTAACGCCATAAATCGATACTAACAATATGTGTAATAGCGATTTTTTTTTCAACGTTGAGACGTGTTGTTATTCGAAATCTTCATGCGCGGAACATTTTTCTCTTTATTATATTTCTTTTATTCGTCAGCTACGTATATTCTATCTTTTGTATATCAAAGTGTGCAAAGTATATACGAAAATAAATACATAGCAATGCATTTGTTTCTTCGAATAATTTACTCCATTTTAACTCACTATATAACTTACTTTATTCGTTTCGAGTTCGATATTCTTCATAATTAATTCTACAATTCTCTTTGAATTTTCTTACGTACCCAATTTCCTAACGATAGCTCATTTCGTGGGATTACTGCGAATGATTATTGAAATGATCACGCTGGTTATACAATAGTCGTAAATATAACGGAACAACAGTAAAATGGCATTGGCGAAACTCGAAGTGATATTTCTCCCTACATTGGCCATTGATACGATGGATTGATTGATCGCCACGAATGACGAGACTGAAATAAATCGTGATGGCGATCTCGTGTTGCGAGTAATCACGTTGATACGCGAAGTGAAACTCGAAACGGAATTTTGCTATTAAATCTTGACTTATCTTAATTTTTCTTGCTCGACCTTCTACGTCGAGTTAGGTACGATCTCTTTCAAGATTTACCTAATAAATAAATATTTCTTTCAACGTGACCTAATTTACTTAATTTACTTGATAAATAAATATTTCTTTCATTATGGCCAATGTGACTTTGCCTCGAATTCACGAATTGAAATTCAAAGGGTGTCATGTTTAACGTAATTTCTTCTAACGATAACGATTGCACGTTTCAGAAATTTACACTGAAACGAAATTCTGTTTATCGAGTCGGAATAAATTCTATTTATTCCGCTAGAATTTGAACAACATCCATCGAATTATGATTCGTTCCAAACTTTCGACGTAAAAATTACATTTCAGCCATCGATTTTTTTCAGAGTAACGAGTACGCCGCATGAAACGTCGTTGTACTTTTCTATTTTTGCTGTCCATTGAACGAAATATAGCGATACGTATCATGTGTCCTACGAATCAATCGCATTCTCGTTTCAGAACCGTGCGAGAAAACATACTGTTCCTGGGGCGCGACGTGCGTCGTGTCGGAGAACGGGAAACCTTTGTGCCAGTGTCCAACAGATTGTCCTTCGACTTCTGAACCTGTCTGCGGCACCGACAACATGACCTACACCAGCCATTGCCATCTACGGAAAACCAGCTGCCTCGAGAGAAAAACTACACGAGTGAAGACTCTGGGCGTTTGTGGTGAGTGCCGTTTCCTGTTACGTGTTACAGCTATTCGTCGCGATCTTTGAAGTTTCTAAATAAACAGGCAGGATATTGGGAGAAAGTTCGATCAGAGCCGCAGAAATAAAGCGTGACACACTTGCGTCGCGATAGTGAGAAACAGAGAAGAAAAAGAAGAAAGAAAGAAGTGGACTGCGAACGGATAATTTCTGAAATCTACCATCTACTGTACAATCTACTATCTAAATCTAGTTTGATCAAAAGTAATGACAACGACACTTGGAAATATGAAAAGCGTTCCTCCGATAAACGTCATTATTACTGGATAGATCTCAAACGAATTGGCGTCTTCAATTCCACTCGGCAACGAATCTTATTAACAAATCAATATTAATTTCACAAAATTATTCGTCGTCTCTCCACGCTTCTAGCATCAAAATATTGATATAAATTTAAAGTTTGATTGGTACTGTGATTTTACGATACTATTTTACGATTCTACAATTTTACACGCGTCTGTCTAGAGACAAGCCTAGTGTACCAAATTATTGCCCTCTCGAAACAGAAAAAAAAAAAAAACGCACTTGAGACACTTTTTCAACGACGAATATTTCGAAATAGGAAATAATTGCATTTCTAGCTTGAACTGGGACACCCTGTACATCGAATCAAGAGAAACACGGTGAAATTAGTTTCCTCTGTCTTTCTTTCCGTTTCTCACTAAACAAAACGACGACGACGAGGATACGGGCGGTCGCGCGGATACTTCGAAGTGGTGAGCGCGTTTCGAGCGTTTCGATTCCCTAATGGCGTTGGCGGGTGCTCGCCTGCGAAACTTCCACCGCGCGGGTGCATCTGTCGATGCAAAGCGGAAACTTATTCCGCGATATCCTGCAATAATGATAATGTGCCGATATCGCGGGCGCTTTCTCAACCGTCACGTCACATTATTCGCGCTCGGGTATCGTCGGCCCGCAAAAATAGAGACGCAGCCTCTCGATATGCCTGCATCCGGCTGCATCGACACGTGTCACACGGCTAAAACGCGCGCGAAGGATACACAAGCGGAGGATTTGGTATCTGGGGCTGCGTAAAATCAGGATTGACGTGTATCCATTTGTCACGATAGTAACTCCGAAGAAACCGGGCTCCGTTTATTCGTTATTCCCGTCGCCGTGATAACGGGTAAGTCGGTTCGTTTCGCGAGATCCACGCGCAGTTTCGCTCTTTACTCGGTGACTGTCGGTGTTTGTCGGAAAATGAATTGGATCAAATGAAATTCGAGACAGTCAGAACTCAGGAATAATGAATCGTTGAAAAGATCAAGCTTCGAGCCGTAGTTTGTTAATCACGTTGGTCGTCAAAAATTCATGTCGCCGGCATTTATACTCGGACTCGAAGCTTGTGAAAAATTAACAGCATGCCATCGGTGACGGATTTAAGCCGGTATTCGCAGCTGAAGTAACGTAAAATTGATTCCGAGTAGCACCATTTGCGGAACGATGTTATTTAGGGGACATCGTACTTAAATCGAGCCAACAGCTCGGATTTCTTTTTATAATTTGCTGATAATTGTAAAAAGTAGTATAATATCTCAAGAGACACTTAGTTAGTGAAACCTATTGTATAATGACGACGTAAGAAGAACAAAAGAATTTCAGTAAAAGAAATTTCCCAAGACAATGTCAATTGACACTCATTGGAAGAATTCACATAAACTAGGCTTCCTATTGCTTCTTGCGAACGTTTAAAAAATGATGGAGGATATTATTTCTCCAGTTATTTTAAGTTTAAACGATATCACACGTTAGAAAAAAGATAGTGAACAAAATTTCGCGTTAAATACCATTCGAGTGATTATCTCTAACGTTGCATCATTTTACTTGAAGTGATGCTTCGTAAATGAATTGTGTGGTAGATGATACATAACAAAAGAACAAAGTTCTCAAAGACAAAGGATTAATTGATTAAAAACAACACGTTTGAAGAGCACAAACTTCGGCCGCGAACGCCGAGCCGAAGTTAATAAACCGGACAATGGCCATTTTGTTTGCGTTTTGAAATTCCAAACGAGCTTCGGCCGCCGCCTCCCGGTGAATCTCGGATCAATTTTCACGATGTACAACCGGCGGGGGTAAATATAAAACGCGTGTATCGGCACGCGGAGGAAATTCGAAGGCGGCAGAATTGGCGCGCACACGTGGAGAACAGAGCGTGTGCACACGCCTCGGAACGTATTTTATCACTATCGGGGATCCCTTTTTACCTTGGCCCGTCCGGCGGGATCTTGCCACCATGAATTAACCATCAGTCGATACCCGATTTTTGCTCTGGTAGAAAGCTCGCTCTACCCCCGTCGAGGTCGTCGCGCGCTGATTCTCAAAACCATCTTTTATTCAAACGAGCCTACACACGCTTGTATCGACACGTATTACTCTCATTTTCCATCTCCGTCTCCATCTCAGCCGTCTTCTTCTCTCTCTTTTTCGTCCTTTTGCCTACCGTTGCCAACAGAAGCATCGGTGAAAATCTTACGGCTTCCCGCGGGTGGAATGTATTACGCGGATCGGGAGGAGAACAGCTGGTAAGCGATGTTCATGAAAATTAGTTGGAATTCTTTCATGTCCTCGCAGTCTCTTCGGGGAGGAAAGTCGAACGATTCGGAACTATTTGGAATTCACCGATACTATTCGCGTTAATTGTTTAGAGGCCAAATATTGCCCAGTTTGATGAAACTGGTCGCTCGAGCTTCTAAATTGCTCACGTTCGAGTATTTTGGGAAAGTATTTTGGTAATCTTCGTGGAGCGGAAATTTCGAAATAATCGAGATAATCGTTTCTGGTGTTCTAAGTGTAGCTTCGTTGCATTTTTTTTTTTTTTTTTCGAGCGTTCCCCTCGTTTCGTCGCGGAATTTAAGTCGGAAGCGGGTATATAAATAAAAATAGTAAATGGCAGCCGGCGAGATTATTAGATAGACATTCAACGTCTCTTATTTTATCTCGGCGAAAATGATTTAACTTTAGTTTCCCGTCGAGAATATAGATAAAGAGAAAGTTTATTAGCAAAATCTTCATCGAGTTTCGCGGGTTTAGTCGAACGAAGAACTCGTGCAGCTGCTAGTTTACTCGAACGAAGCTGTACAAGTACTTCGTTAAACAATTTATGAGTATCCGGTGGTACGCTTCGCTATCGTCTCTGTAGGATTTTATAATTACGCATGATTCCTTTCTGACGGAACAGAGAATCTCTGATAAGAGAAGTGGACTTGTTCGAGTTGGCAGTGGGAATATTTCAAAGTAAAATAAAATTAACAATCTCGAGATTTGAAATCGAAACTCCTCCCTCTCCTGCATCCCCGTAATTTCACTTTACGGCTATTCACGGATCGCTGAATCTTTACGCGGCGGGAGAATTAATTTGGCTCACGTGCCGTGAAATTTAATATGATGTGCAACGATCAGCGACGCACGATTTTCACCCGGTGGCGCTCGTTGAAAGTCTATCGAAGGCTTTCGACAAACTTACGACCCGCTTGCACCTCATCTTTCTTCCCGCGCTTTCAATTACCTTCGAACAAGCCAAAGATCCCGGAAAGTCTGGAAATGACACGCAAGGTCAGGACACCAACGAGAGATCTCTAACTCTCGAAAATCCAACTTTATGAAAGCACTTTGCCAGACTTCGGTTACGGAGAACTCTCGTCGTTTTATCAATTTATTCGTTCCATCGTAACAAGGCTTGTTGTTGTTTTTTTCCTCTCTCTCTCTCTCTCTCTCTTTGTTTTCTGAAACTTTTAAATTTCGTCGACGATCGATAGGACGGCCCCGCTGAAATTTATTTGGAAATCGAGCGCCAACCGGGCACAAACACACCGCTTTCTATAAAGCAAACAGATATTAAAAATTGCTATTAAAAATTCCGCGGCAGGTGTAACAAGTCCGATACGACTGAAGCAAATACAAGTACAGTGTACGAGGTATCGTTAATTCTTTCGCAATACGAACTTCGTAAAGCTTTCAGTGCTTGTTTCGGGTTGTTTGAAATTTGTAGAAAAAATTTTATCAAAATTTTTACATAGATAGAACTTACGCTATGGAAAACAGAAGGTTTCCTTTACAAACCTTGAAATAACTTTCCAACTTTTAACAAATCATTTTATTCATCTAGCTTCCATTTTAAATACTACTCGCGACGCGCTTTTACTCCCAGTAAGTATAATATTGATTCTCTCGAGTACCAATCCAACAAAAAAATAGTAGCAGATAGTAGCGAGGGAGAAGTAGCTTTTCCCCTCCTTTAAGTCTTTCTTTAAAATCGAATTCAGACTCGGACTGTTATCAATGCCCGGCCGTTTTCCTTATTCTCCCTCCTTAACCAGCCACTATTCTCTCTTTCCGTTCTTATCTTATCGGCCGTAGTTCTGGTTCATTGCAAGCTCATGCCGCGAACAACTTATAAGACGGCCGAGCTATTAAACAAAACTACGTTCGAGGTACGAGGTTGGTGTAGCGGGCTTAACATCGGCCCCTATCGTCCGAGTCAGGGGCTTTTTAAATTTTTATCATCTCATAACCGCGAGATTCATCGCTGATACTTACGTGCACAGAGACGCTTCTTCACAGGCTTGTTTCCACGGGGCGAGAACAACCGCCTCGACGAAACTTAAACGCGACGTTTAATTAAAAATAATCATGGACGATGATGCAAATTGACGTAATTTATCGCGAGAACTCCACCGTTTAATTGAGGGGAACGTATTTTTGTGGGAACGCGGCAACGCGGACGCGCTATTCGCATGAGCGCAAGACGTCTTTTCAAACAAGTTCCCCACGTGCACGTAAATTATTATGCGAGCAAACAATGCGGTACCGGCGTAACAGCATCGTGTAAAATAGCCGAGTGTCCCTGGTGGCTCTCTCAGACGAGTTTCCCTTCTGATGTTCTCCTTCTGCCCGCTACTCTCGCCGGCTTCTCGCTCACGTATTCCCCGTGTTGCTTAAAGTATCTACTCCACGTAC